AGTCTCCTTAAAAATGGGGCTGAGACCAGGTGCAGTGCTGACGCCTGTAATCCTAACACTTTGGGAGACCAAGGCAGGAGGATCCCTTGAGGCCAGTAGTTTGAGGCCATCCTGGGCAACATAGCAAGAACCCATCTCTACAAAAAAAAATAAAAATTAGCCAGGCATGGTAGTTACTAGGGAGGCTGAGGTGGAATGATTGCTTGAACTCAGGAGTTTGAGGCTGTAGTGAGCTATGATCATGCCATGGCATTCCAGCCTGGATGACAGCAAGACCCTGTCTCAAATTTTTAAAATGGGGTTGATCCCCGTCTCAAGTGTCTCTGGGAACATTAACTGAGATGAAAATTCTTACACAGAGATTGGTGAATGGTTGTCATTGGTGACACATCTGTTCTAACTTATTTCATACAAGAAATCATCACAATAAACCTGTGTCCCAGTGTTATTCACCTTGTACAGCTGGGGCAACTGGGGCCCAGAGAGGTCAGGCCATTTGCCAAAGATCACACAGCACACTAACTATGTGGTAGAGCGAGGTTCCATTCTAGTGTGTCTGACGCCAAATTCCGTGCTCCTTCAAGTGTCACAGTACCCCTCACCCAGACTCCATGACCCCCTAACTACACTTCTCCCCCTTCCTGTGCCCTCATCTCCTAACCCTAATATAGCCCTCCCCCTGCCAAGTCTGTCTGCTGTGCCCCTTTCTTCCTGCACACTGGTTCTGAACTTTTTTGGTCAGGACCTTAGGTTGGGTGTTGGGGGGTGTAGGCAGGGCCAAGGGATGAGGATCGACTGCAGTCCCTGCCCAGAGCTGGAGGCCTCATCCTCCCTTTCTCCATCTCCCCCGGCCAGCAAGGCAGCTGAGGGTGCTGCGGCCTCTGGAGGACGTGACCGTCAGTGAGGGAGGCAGCGCCACCTTCCAGCTGGAGCTGTCCCAGGAAGGTGTAACCGGGGAGTGGGCCCGGGGTGGAGTCCGGCTGCATCCAGGGCCCAAGTGTCACATCCACTCAGAGGGCCACAGTCACCGACTGGTACTCAAAGGCCTGGGCCTGGCTGACTCAGGCTGCGTCTCCTTCACGGCGGATTCCCTGCGCTGCGCAGCCAGACTCGTTGTGAGAGGTGTGGCTCCAGGACCACAGCCTGCCTGCTGACCTGTGTGGCCCTACTCACCCCAGGCATGAATACTGACCCCCGACTCGTGTGACCCCCATTGACCATGCCTGTCTCAGTGTGGCCCTCATTGACATCCCTGCCAGAGTGTGACCCCCCCCCTCCGACTCTTAGGCCGTGTGTGGCCCCAGAGACTCCTCTGCCTGAGTGTGGCCCCTGACTGCCCCAGGCTCAGCCAACCACACTGACTCTGCTACTGTGAGCATGCCTATGCCATTGTGGTCACTGCTGTCTGCCCGCCTGCACACCACCCCACTGACCACTCTTAACTGTGACCCTACTGGCTACACTGCCTGCCATGGCTCCTTCTGCCTGTCCAGTCCCTCAAATCCACTGACTGCCTGAGGGTGACATCACTAGCAACTCTGCTTGAGTGTCCCCCATGTTTGCTTCCAGCCCCAGGATGTTCCCACTGACCACTCCACTGGCATCTCTGCTTGTTTCCCCATTGCCCTCTGGTCCCCAGCCTCTCCCCCACTGACCACCTTAAAGTGTGACTCCCGGTTGGCCACTCCTAACCCATTGGCCCTGTGGCCCTGCCCACCACCACCCCCCACCCCCCGTCCCCACCACTGACGGATCCTTCTTGGACCACTTGTCCCAGCTCATCCCCCACTCGCTAGTGTCCTCTACTGACACCTTGTGCCCAAGTGTATGTCCTCCTTGTCCCTACAAGATTGGTCCCCATCCTGCTCCCTCTGCACTGTCCTCCCTCTCCCACTCCCAGAGGTCCCAGTGACCATCGTGCAGGGGCCACAGGACCTAGAGGTGACCGAGGGCGACACAGCGACGTTGGAGTGCGAGCTTTCCCAAGCTTTGGCTGATGTTACCTGGGAGAAGGTCAGATCCCAGCCCCAGCCCAGCCCACTTCAACATAACACCAACAATAATAATGCCCCAGACAGAAACAACTAATACTTAAGCGGATGTGCCTGGCACTGTGCTAAGATTTGCATTATATTTTATCCCTTACTCCAAGGACAACTCTAGGAGGTAGGTCTTGTCACTGTGATACCTATGAGGAAACTGATGCTCAGTGGAACAAATTACCTACCCAAGGGCAGACAAAAGGTAGAGCCCATATTTGAATCCAGGTTTGTCTAACTCCAGAATCCGTGCCCATGTCCCCTGTGATCCATACCTGGCTCTGGGCTTCCCGAGCACCTTGGCGGCCCTAAGGTCCCCAAAAAGTGACACTTTTTCAAAGAGGCTCCTGGCACGACCCCAAAGGCGTGGGGACAGCCCGACCCCAGCCTGGGAACACGAGACACGCATAAACGCGCCTCGAGACTGCTTGGCATTAACAGAGGGTGCTGCCGCCTGCCAGGGCCGGGGTCGCCTGTGCCCAGCCGGGCCCGCCCCGACCCTCTGCAACTCCCGCCCCTAGGACGGGAACGCGCTCACTCCCAGTCCGCGGCTCCGGCTCCAGGCCCTCGGCACGCGCCGCCTTCTCCAGCTGCGGCGCTGCGGCCCCTCGGACGCCGGGACCTACAGCTGCGCGGTGGGGACGACCCGCGCCGGGCCGGTCCGCCTGACCGTGCGCGGTGGGTATGGGGTGATGCGGAGGCTGGGCACTGCTTTGGGCATGAGACTTGCGAAGCGGTCTTCCCCCGACCCTGCTGACCGCGCGTGCTTCTAGAAAGGGGGCGTGGAGGGGGCGTGGCTGGTACCTGCCCTCCACCCCGCCCCGCTCACGCCCCGGGCTCCGCCCCAGAACGTACGGTGGCGGTGCTCTCCGAGCTGCGGTCGGTGAGCGCCCGTGAAGGCGACGGCGCCACGTTCGAGTGCACCGTATCGGAGGTCGAGACCACAGGGCGCTGGGAGCTCGGAGGCCGCCCGCTGAGACCCGGAGCCCGCGTCCGCATCAGGCAGGAAGGTCTGGCCTCCTGGTTACCCTCTCGGGCCCCTCGCTGCCCCGCCCAGACTCGGACAGATCCCGCCCCACCGGGACAAGCCCCGCCCCTGACTCGGACGGGCCCCGCCCCGCGGCCCTGTGAGCCTCGTCCCCAGTCTTTCCCCCGCCCCCAGCCCCGAGTCTCGGACCGCTAGTCTTCCCACGCGGTATCCCGGTTCCGCCCACCCTAGCGTACACTAACGGTGTTCGAACCGACCCAGGGGCCTGCTGCGCCCCCACCTTCGTCCCTAGCGCTCCTCAGAGGTGGCTCCGGCCTCGCTAGCGACCCCCTCACCCCCAGGGAAGAAACACATTCTGGTGCTTAGCGAGCTGCGGGCCGAAGACGCCGGTGAAGTACGCTTCCAGGCGGGGCCCGCCCAGTCCTTGGCTCTACTGGAAGTGGAGGGTAAGCACCTGGGGCGGGAGCCACAGAGAGTACATCCTCTGTCTCCTGCCATGGGACTGACGGACTTGGGGCTGGCCCCAAGAACGCTGCCTCTCTCTCTTCCCCTCTCCCCGAGGGGCTGTCCTGGGCCAGGTCACAGAGGGCAGCGCGTTTCCCCGGGAAGAGGAGACTTTGGGTCTGACGTGCAAGGGAACGGACTGGTGGCATAGAGGGCTAAGGCCAGGAGTGGAGGCTGCAGGGAGGGAAGATGCATCTCTTCTCCTGGGGGCCATGCGTGTCCCTATTAACTTAAGCTCCTGCCCCCTATCCCCAGCATTGCCTCTCCAGATGTGCCGCCACCCCCCTCGAGAGAAGACCGTTCTGGTGGGCCGCCGGGCGGTGCTGGAGGTGACTGTGTCCCGCTCGGGGGGCCACGTGTGCTGGTTGCGGGAGGGGGCCGAGCTGTGCCCGGGAGATAAGTATGAGATGCGCAGCCACGGCCCCACCCACAGCCTGGTCATCCATGACGTTCGACCTGAGGACCAGGGCACCTACTGCTGCCAGGCCGGCCAGGACAGCGCCCACACACGGCTGCTGGTAGAGGGTGAGTAAAGTTAACTGGGCAGAGGCAGGAGGGCGAGGGCGCCTGGGAGCTGATGGGTTAAGCCACACCTGGCTCTCCAGGACTTAGGGTGGCAACGGGTCCTGGGATACGTCGGAGGTGGGGATGGGGGAGGGGAAGGGTAGAGCACACCTAGGGCTGGAAAGCCCTGGAACCGCTTGGCTCAGATCAGCTGCTCCTGGTCAGCTGTTCCCACCTTTCTACGCCCCTTCCTGCCAGGCTTCTCCTCTCTCCTGCCACTGGACCATGTTTGTCTCTCTTGAACAGCCCTGTTTATACCGGTTCCTTTCCTCCCCACTTCCCCAACACTGCCTGCCTCCAGCCTGTCCCTCCTCTCTCCTGCCCTCTGCCCAGCTTGCCTCTACCCATCTCAGCAAGTTCCATGTCAGCCTCGGCAGAAGCCTCTTTCTTTCCTCTTCCACGTAGGAGACATCCCACCTTCTATCCCGAATCCCAGCATTCCCTTCAGGTGCTGCCCTGTGCCCCATCCCTAGCTGACCCCCACCTTCCTGCTGCCAAGACAGCCCTGACCAAGACGGAGAAAGGGTAGGGCATAGCCTGGGGCCCCAGCTCTTCCTGTACTGGTGTCCAGGCTCTGCCAGGGGAGAGAAAGGTGGTACCCACTCTCTCCCCAGCCACATGTGGAGTCATTCCTCTGCAGGTAACTAGGAGGACCGAACCAGGCCAGGCGGGTGCCCTTGGACAACTTGGAAGGCGTGCGCCCTTACCCTGGGCAGGGGTAGAGAGACAGGGAAACCAGAGGTGTCAGGAGACAATAAAAGTGCTACAGCTCATTTCCTTGCCTCTCTGAGTGATGTGGGAGGGCAGACCTTGCCTGGAGCCTCTGTGCAGTGAGCGACACTGGGGACCGAGGGCTGTAGTGCTTGTACCTGGCCCATGAAAGTGCCAGCCACCAAAGACCACCATTCCTGGCAGAGGCCACGCAGTTTGGCACATTTATAAAAGATGTAAAACAGAGTGGGGTGGGGGAGACAGAAGCATGAGGTGTCCAGGTTGGCATGACAGACACCAGACATGCACCGTGCATTTCAGCCCCTCCCCAACTCCCTTCCCAACCCAGCCCAGAGCAGCACCCCCCACCCCCATCTCCTGCCACTGCCCTCAGGCTGGTGGCTTTGCAGAGGCCAGGGGACCAGGGTGAGGGGTGCTACAGTTTGCCCCATAGACAAGGACAAGAACCCTTAGATGAGTCTGGCTGGGAGGCAGGGCGATGGGAAGGAAGGTAGCCCCTCCGCGGAGACATGCAGGAGGTGGCCCATGGGACCCCGGCAGGGGGTGAGGAGGTGGGGTTGAGCCTGGAGAAACCCTACCAGTCAGAAATCTAAGGCAAGGGTCCCAGCGTCCCCTCCAAGCCCGCCCACCCCTGCACACATACACACAGACACACGGGCAACACACTCACAACCCTGAGCACACCCCAATGGGGTTCACACCCCGAGTTCCTCAGGAGCCTCTTGGGAGCTTGGGAGGGGGCTTTCCTCTCAGGCCAAGACTCGCCTGAGACAATCCTCCCTTCTAGTGACCAGGCCAGCCCTCTCCAGGCTGGGGAGAGGGACAGCCAAAGCCAGGGGGCTAAGTGGCAGCCTAGCAGGCCTCCCCGAGCTGGCAGAGCTGGTGACTGCAGAGTCTAGACAGGCAGATATGGCTATACCCGCACCGGGGGGCCTGAGCAGGCTGTCAGAGGCCCCCGGGACCCATACTCATAGTCCGCATCTGTGGGTGAGGCCATGAAGGAGCTCAGGGAGCTCCCGGTCTGCCGGTCTCGGAAGCTCTGGATATAGCTCTGTGGGGGAGCAAACATAGGTGTGAGAGTCCCACCGCAGAATCCTGCCCTAAAAGCCACCTCTTCCTGAATTCCTACATGCCTGACACCCCTATAGACTGCCATAGATCCAGAGTCCACAGCCCTGAGACCCCACCACATAACCATATCCCACTTAAAACCCATACTGAGGGCACCTTTCCCCCAATCCCCCCATCAGCTGGACCCACCAAGCCCCTGGTGCGTGGCCTCCGATGCATGGACAAATAGGCCTTCTAGATAGCAACCAGTCCATGGGGAAAGCCCAGTCCTGTTCGGACAGAGTTTCCACACTTCCTTCTCATTCTGGCTGGATGGGCTCAGGGAGCTCACCGGGGAGAGGACGTCTCCATTGAAGCGTTTGATGGGCACTGGCCTGCGCCGATAAGCAGGGTCTGGGGGCCCAGGCCTGGGAGGAGCCCGGGGACCTCTGGGGGGAGCCCGAGGAGGTCTCTTTTTCCGCCTTTTCTCCTTGCGATCTTCCTGCTGCCGAATCCGCATCAGTTGCACGCGTCGGCGCTGCCGGCTGATGACCACTGTGGTGGGATGGGTAGAGAAGGAACTCAGAGGACTGTGCGCCTTATTTCCCCTGAGCCCTCCCTCTCTCTTCCCACCTGGGGCTCTAGGCTTCCAGATTCCTCTTGTCCATAACCCCTTACTCCCACCCTGTCACTTCCTTTCCTGGTCTCCTGCCTCTCAGAGGGGACTTCCCGCTGTTGTTGTTTTCTTCCATAGGTCTTTATGGAAGATTCCTAGGCTTCCAGGTACCCCCTTCCAGGCTGTCATCCCTCTCCCAATCACCTAGGCCAGCCACCATCATCTTTCCACTGGACAATCATAGCTGCTTCGTCACTGGTTTTCCCTACACTTGCTCCCTCTAATGCTTTCTACACTCAGCAGCAGAATGAGCATCCCAAAAACTAAATTAGATTCTATTCTCCCCTACTTTAAACCCTCCAGTGGTGTCTCATTGCCCTTCCAATAAAATGTGGAGTGCTTCTTATGACCCAGAGGGTCCACGCAATCACCCTGGCTCCCACACCTCACCTTCCATACTCCTGCCCCACTTCCTCAAACAAGCTGAGCTCATTCCTTCTCAGGGCCCTCGCCCTTGCTGTTTCCTCTTCTCTAGCTCTTTGCATGGCTGGCCCCTTAGCTTTCAAGTGCCTGCTTACATATCACCTCCTTCAAGTAGCCTTCCCTGACCACCCTAACTCTAATAGCTTCCATAGGTCACTCTTTCACATTACCCTGCATGTCTCTGTCATATCACTCTACACAACTGGAATCATCTGGTTTGTTTGCATCTCTGTTATCTGTCTCCTGCCTGCCCTGAATGTACACCCATAAGGACAGGAACCTTGTCTGTGTTATCTCTGCTGTATCCCTGGTGCCTGGAATGGTGTCGGTGCAGAGCCAACACTCCATATGTTGTTGTGGAATGAATGATGGCACCTGGGTCCTATCCTCCCAGACCCTGAGCAAGTCAGCTCTCTACAGCCATCGAGGCCTTCTGCTGCTGTCCCCTACTCCTCAGTCACTCGGCCCCCCACCCATCCCTGGCCACCCACTCCTCTCATGTCCACCTTGGCCTGTGCCCCCTTACCTTCCGTGTGGGAGTCCCCCTCAGCTGTCACCCGCCACTGCACCAGAATGCCCATGAGGCTGAGCAGGGGCCAGAGTGCCAGCAGGGCCCAGCTTCGCCAGCAGAGGGGGGGCACAGGAGCGGCCCGGAGTCGCTCCACCACGTAGCGCCCCAGCAATAGCAGCTCGGCGAAGTAGTCAGCGGCAGTGGCGATGAGCGCAGCACCAGTCACGGCGGTGGCCAGGGTGGTGAGTGGGCGGGGCCAGCGCAGAGTGAGCAGGGCACAGAGCAGGCCGCCCCCCAGCAGCAGCCCCAGTGGACCCCACACGGAGCCTGGCTGGTAGTAGGGTGCGGAGCCCAGCAGGGCAGCAGCTGCGAGCAGCAGGCCGAGCAGCAGCCCCACCAGGAAGAGGCCCACGCTGCGCACGAGCATGGCCACCAGCCCGCAGAGCAGCCCGATGCCCAGCGCGATGCCCGCGCTCGCCCCAGCACTCAGCTGTGTCTCTAGCACCCGCTCTCGGTAGCACAGGAGGAAGATGACCACCGAGCCAAACAGCAACCCAGTGAGGAAGAGCACTGCCTTGAAGCAGCGGTAACCTGGAGGGGAACAGGGGCTAGTGAGGGGCCAAGATGAGGGCACCAGGCTGGAGGGAGCAGGTCCGAGGGGTCAAGGACATGGGATCCCAGGGGAACCAGAGACAAACACACTAAGATCAGAGAATTGAGGGTCACTGGGGTCATGAGGGCATCAGTGATGCGGCCATTGAGGTCAAGGGAGGTTAGAGAGATAGGGCTGTTGGCAGTCAATGGGAAAGCAAACATAACCATTGAGATCATAAGGGTTGATATATTTGAGGATCACAAGAGTTAGGATAAATCTTTCGAGTCAAGGGTGACTTCGTGCATTGCTGTCATTGGGATCATAGGAGTCAGAGAGATAAGTCATTGGGATCCCAAGAGGATCAGCAAAAGAGTCAGTGGGGTCTTTGAGAAGGGATTGCTCACAGAGATGAGGTATTTGGAAATCATAATAAACTCAAGGGCTGGGCATGGTGGCAGCACTTTGGGAGGCCGAGGCGGGTGGATCATAAGGTCAGGAGTTCGAGACCAGCCTGATCAACATGGTGAAACCCTGTCTCTATTAAAAATACAAAAAATTAGCCGGGCATGGTGACGCGCACCCGTAATCCCAGCTACTCAGGAGGCTGAGGCAGGGGAATCACTTGAACCCAGGAGGCAGAGGTTGCAGTGAGCCAAGATCGCACCACTGCACTCCAGCCTGGGTGACAGAGCAAGACTCTGTCTCAAAAAAAAAAAAAAAAAAAAAAAGTTGAGAGGTGAGGGTCACACAGGTTCAGAAAGATGAGTTTTTGAGGGTCACAGGGCTTCAGAGATATGGCACCACTGAAAGGTTACAAAGAGGACAGAGAAGCAGAGTTATTGGGGAGTTGTCCTGGAAAATGAGGTATTTGTAGGTTAGGGAGATTGACAGAAATAGAATCATTGAGAGTATAAAATGATTTCCAAGAGAGAGGAACACTGAGACCAAAACAAGGAATTACTGGGATCACAGTATGGGGAGGGGTGATCAAATGATGAGGTTATAGGGATTAGAGAGGAGTAACCAGTGATCAAAGCTAGGAGTAATAGAGGGGGTCAGAGGGATGGAAGGTAATGACATAACTGGAGGTGAGGGGAGGTGGAGGTCACTAAGGCTTACATGAGGTCACACAGAATCAAAGAGAAGGAAATAGTGTTTGTGGAGTTTCAGAAATAAGGAGGTTATAGGGCCATTAGGCCCATTAGAGATACCTGAAAGGGTGAGGGAAGTGGAGATTCTGAATAGTTGGAAAGATGGAAATCAGAGGTGGGGGTCAAGGAGTCAGGAAGAGCCAAAGAGAAAGATAACAGAGGAGAGTCACTTCCAGGAGTAGGGGGAAGTATGAGAGTCCAGGAGGCTCTGTGAGCAGAGAGAGGAGTAGGGCGTGGACAAGGGCTCAGAGTCCATGAGCCTGGAAATAGTGGTATCCAAGAGGGGTAGGATGTCAGGAAGCCCAGGAGAGGGAATATGAGGCCACATTGAGCAACATGCAGAGGGAGTGGGTACAGATATGGAGGGGGTGAGGTGATACAGAATCCTCAGAGGCCCAGAATGTGTCCTGAACCCTTGCGGGGGGCACTTCCTCCTGCCTACTCTTCAGTTGTTCAGCCCAGAGTTTGGGGGAGGAATGGGAGGGACCATCTGGCTCCCAACCCTGTCTACCCACCCATTGTAGGAGGAGGCTGCAGAACACAAGTCTTGCACTACCTCTGCCCAACCTGGAACCCCAGCCCCCAAGCCTCATTTGCCCCCCACAGGTCCCACTCACCTATAATTCTCCTCCCGGAGGCTTTCTTTGGGCCCCCAGCTTCAGAGCTCACTCTCCCCTCTGAAGTTCTGTAACTCTTGCTGCAGAGCCACTGGTCACTTACTCCCATTACAGTGGGCCACTAGCCCATATGGCACCTTTATGCATATTAGAAAAAGGTGTGCCTTTCTCTAGGCAAAGCAGCTTTGTACCAAGGCCCAGATTTTGTCAGGCAGAGCATGAGCTGGACTTTAGCCCTCACTTGCCCACTCAGCTGAGTTCCCTTATTTAGTACCCATCCTGTACAAGTATTCACAGCAGCTCTGATTACCGGAGCCTGCCTTATAGGCTGGATGGATGTGTGTGACCACCATCCAGCCCGCTCTAATATGTATCCCAGGTGTAAATGCTCCAGGGAGTCTCCTCCCTGTCAGATGATATGCCCTATGGTAAGGGACCATGTGTAATGACCCTGCTAAGTGTTTTCAGTGCCTACCTAGCACAGTGACCCAAACACATCCTCACCACAATAGCTACTATCTATTGAATGCTTATTGATTCTTATAACACTACATGAGACAAATGTGATCATTGTTCAGATGAGAAAACTGAGGCTCAGACAGATTAATGTGCCCAAGACATCACAATTAGTAACTGCAAAGCTAAGTAAATTCAAACTCAGGTGTGCCTAATCCAAAAACCTGTGTTTCCTATAATATAGAGTCTAGACAATCTATAAATATGTGGGATGAAAGAAAAGGAAGAATTATTCACGATGGTAGAGGGATTCAGAGAAGACTTGAGGGGCTCAGAAAAAGAACTCGGGAAAACACTGGGGAGCCCAGGTGAGGGATGAGATGGGGATCTCACCGAAGAAGCAGTAGACGACTCCAAACAAACAGCACATGATGCAGACGAGGGCCGGCAGTGCCTGGTACCTGCGCTCCAGGGGCTGTTCACAAGGGGCACCCCAGAAGGCATCATCTGGCTCAGAAGGCAGTAGCTGGAACCGCAGTGTTGCCACAGTCCCCGGCATAATGCTGGGAATAGAAGGGAGTCACCCTCCCAAGTTAACCTGACAGAGGGAAAGTTGGGGTCACAGAGGAGTCCTGGGTCCCCACCAGGATGGGGGTAGGAGAGGGATTGGGAGAACTCAGCAAGGACAGTGGACAAAGGAGTGGTATCCACATTTGTGCAGCTCTGGAAGCATCTCTGGAGTGGAGAGCAAAGACAAAGGGAAACAAAAGTGCCTGGCTAGAGGAGACTGGGATGAAGTTAAAAGAGGGACGGGAGTCAGGGGGGATGAGGGGAGTGTGCTGCCAGTGAGAAGAAGGCAGCCAAGAGATTCGTCTGTGGGCGGCTCAATATGGGATTGTCCAAGATTTACCTGGGCTGGAGGCGACCTGAGCTTCTGAGTGAAAGAGACTGTGTAGACGCCCGAGGGGCCGGGGTTGCGGGGCGCCACAGGCTCCAATTGACTGGGGTCCAGGGAAAGTCCGTCGTGCGAGGAAGGGGGCTGCTGGGCCGCAGAGACTGGTCTCGGCGCGGTGGCGGCGCCGCTCCACCTCCAACACCGGCTGGCACTCCAGTCCCGCGGCGTCCGGGAACTCGGTTTGGGCCTGGGGAAGGGGAAGGAGCAGGAGCCGGGGCTCGGGCCGCCCCAGAACCGCGGCCCCATGCCCTGAGCCCGCCCGCGGCCTTTGGTGCTGATGGACAGCTCCGGCCTCTGCTCCTGACGTCACTCAGGGCGCACCATCCAGGCAGGGGCGGGCTGCTTCTGACGTCACCCGGGACGCACCAACCACGCCGCGGGAGGCAGGGGACTCCGCCCCCGGCGTCTCCCTCTCCCGCACCGAGGTGGGGGCACTTCCGGGGGCCCTTCCCCTTTAACCTCCCCCTTCTCCTCCCTCTCCGGTAGCGGGAGCTCGAGACCCCACCCCGGGGGCGGGGCCCTTGCAGTGACACGTCGGACAGCTGCGGCCGCGGCTGAGGCTCTGGGGCCGAGCGCAAGAACCCTGCGCACCCTAGAGCAGCTGCTGGAGGGGAATCGAGGCGCGGCCCCGGGGATTCGACTCGGGTCGCTGGCTCTGCTCTGCGGGGAGGGAGCGGGCCCGCCCG